TGGCGGCCCCCCGAGCGCCCGCGCCGCCGCCCCGTCCGACGCCCTGTTCGCCTACCTTTCCGGCAGCCCTCCCCGCGCCCAGCCAATCGTCCGCCCCGACGACTGCGAGGCGCACAACTCTGGCCACGCCGCCTCCCCCGCCGCCCTGCCCAGCGCCTCACGCCCTGCCCGGCGCCTCGCCCAAGGCTGTTCCCGGCGACGCCCCTGCAGCCCTGGGAACCGTGTTTGGCGGCCAGCTCCCCAGCGAACCCAGCCTCAGGCAGCGGCCTGCGACTCAGTTTCTGCTCTCGCGCTGGTTGCGGCGTGCGTCCGTGCTGGCGCCCTGCGAGGGAGCGACCGGCGCCCCGCCATGGCAACGCGCCAACAAGCGGCATCCATGCCAGCCCCGCCGTCAGATACATTGGGGCCCCTTGGCAAGCGAGACGCCAGGCGAATGGGTCAAGGATGGCACGCCCTAGGCGCGACGCCATATACGGGCAGACTGGCCACACTTTCGACGGTGTGAGGCGGCCTAGGGTAGAGTGTTTGGTCTTTCTTCGCGAGCTCGCTGCCTGTGGGCACGACGTGATGGAAAAGGCCGAAAGACAGCGCGGGGTACTGCTGCGTGATCGTCACGGGAAGTGGCAAGGGGCCCCGACAGCAGGCGTGGCGATGCGCCGCAGGCCCTGACACGCCGCTGAGGCTGGCGCTGCTCTGGGGTCCATCTGATCCTGTTAATTCGGCTTCCTTTCGCGCCACTGGTCGGCCTACCAATGCCCTCGCTCGGCTTCTAGCCGCCCTGGTCCCCGGTGCCCGTGGCTTACCGCTGTGCAGCTCCGGTCCGCTGCCGCGTTGCGGTCGACGGAACGCATCCGTTCGGTCTGACGCGATGCGTTCGCCAAAACGTGGGCCAATACGTTGAGCCAATGCGCAGCGTATTGACGCGGGCGTTTCGAGCACGGCGCGCGTTGCGTATCAAAACGGGCGCATCGAGGCTTCTGGCAACGACTCCTACCCAGATCCCGATGCCTCAGCACGGCCCACGAGGGCCTTCAT